GCCCAGCCGGCCGGGCCAGAGCCGTCACCCCCACCAGGCCCGGCCCCGGCCCCGGCCCCGGCCCCCAGGCCGCCTGCGGTACCCACCGGAGCAGGTCGTGCTTCTTGGCGCGGTTGTGAGCGCTGAGCGCCTTGAGCTCCGCCTGCCGCTTGCGCAGCTCCGCCAGCACCTCGTCCTCAGCGTCCTCGGCCGGGCGGTCCTCCGAGTCCAGCAGCCCCTGTGCGATCAGCTCCTCCTTGATGCGCCCCTCCAGCGACTTGGTGTGCGGCACGCTGCCAGGGACGAGGGCGGGCTGCCGTCACCCCACGGGCCCTTTCAAGGCGGGCCACAGGGAAGAGGGCAGCGGGGCCCCACGGCTGCTCACCTGAAGGGCTTGTTCTGGCTGCGGGGGGAGGTGCCAGCGCCATCAGCCCCCGAGTCCTTGCCCACGATCTCGGGGATCGGGGAGTCCTCCACGGGGGAGATGATGTTCTCCTAACAGCAGAGCGTGGAGACAGGGGTCAGCGCTGGGCAGCGGGGGCCGAGCGCGGCCCAGCCCGGAGCCCCACTCACCTCCACCAGCGCTTGTAGGAGACGCTGCGTCAGGGGGCCGAAGGGGCAGCCGTCCTCGGGCTGCTCGTGCTGGGCCTCCGACTTCTTCAGCAGTGCGTCCACATCTGCAGAGAGACGGGGAGGGGGCTATGAGCAGCGTTGGGGAGATGGGCCCCGAGCCAGCTGAGCAGCGAGGAAACCCCCCTCCCACCTGTGGCTCTTGGTCCCAGGGCTCACCCCACCTGCCCCCCCCATAGAGCGCGCCCAGGCAGGCTGCAGAGCAAGGTGCCCGCGGGCCATCTGTGCTCCCCAGGCCTGGCTGAACCAGACTGTGCCCCGCACCAGGTGCCCCTGTGCCCAGCTGCCAGGATGCAGGGCTGAGCCAGAGGCACCTTTCGTGTCCAGCTCGGTCAGTGGCCCCAGGACGCCTTTCTTCTTGTCCGCAGCTGCAGCCACGCGGGCGCCGTCTTTCTGCTCCTCCAGCAGGTCCTCCTGGGCCCAGCGCTGCGAGTAGTGCTTCCCCAGGGGCGGGATCTGCAACAGAAATCTTGTGAGCAGCACGCAGCTGGGGAGCCCCGAGCCGCCGTCCCCTTCTGGGGAAACACGGCCACAGGGAAGCGCCCCAGCTCCACGGCCCAGGGTGCAGCGGCCGGGCTCCTGCAGCGCTGCAGGCCCTGCCTCCAGGAAGCCACAGGGCACCGGGCTCACAGCACATCGGCAGGCTCAGGGAGGGGCCACTTTAGCGTCCCTGCTTCGCTGCGTCAAGACTGAGGACGCCCATCACACCCGGAGCTTTGCACCGTGCCTGGCCCTGGGCTGCTGACACAAGGGGCTGCTCCGGGGCCCTGGCCTTGCCCCATGCGCCGAGTCCCCTGCACGATCACCTCCAGCTCCTGCCCTGCGCTCCCTTGTGCTCTGCTGCTGCCAACCAGCCAGAGGCTGACGGCCGAGCAGGGAGGCAGAGACCGCTTGTCTGGCCCTGCCTGCCAGCGACACGTGGGCATCCTTCGGCGCCCGAGATGCCATTCGGTGCCCGGTGCGAGGGCAGAGAACGCCCCCTCCTGGCTGCCGCCGGGGTGGACTTTCAGGCCCCTGACAGGCTCCCCAGGGCCGACAGCAGCGGGAGGGACGGGATCGGCTCAGCATCGCCTGGCTGCGGCCCCCGTCCAGGCTGGGCCCAGGGGCAGCGTGCAGGGCGCGAGCTCGGCGGCAGCTCCGGGCGCAGCTGGGCCCGCGGGCGCCCACCTTGTAGTGCTCGGCCTCGCCCTCGGGCGGG